AGAACTCTGGGCTTTCTGTCCTTTTTAGTGTGATATCCTCTTACATTATGATGTTCACCTTCCCTATGACCACCTACCTTATACTTAATCTAGGTAGTGGAACTCAGTTTGAGAAATGTTTATTGACTTGAATCAGTGTTGTTATATTCATATTTTTTTGTTTCATCTCTCAGTGTCTCTGAGGTCCATCCCTTGTTTGCTAATCCCATATCCAAATTCCTGATATTGGCCAAGCTTAACTGAAAAATTCATATGATGTATGTTAAATATTACTTGGAATCTGCATTTCTCTGATTTCCTTTTCTAATGCAGTTAATTTGAAAGTCTCCTGAGCTCTGATTTTTTTTTTCAAATAAGTATTGTTTTTGTCTTTTTCTATCAATTAAATTAGCTGGTATAATAAAGTTAGGCATGATTGAAATATAGAAAGCAAATATGAGCAAGAAAAGTTTTACTGATAAATATGACAACTTAAAATGGGATATTGTATAGTATACATGTAAATTTTGCTTTTTATAGAGTTGGCGTTCCTAAAGGTGCTAAAGGCTCACCTGTTAATGCTTTGCAAAACAAGAGAGCACCAAAACAAGCAGAGAGCTTTGAAGATTTGAGGAGAGACGTCTTCAATATGTTCTGTTACCTTGGTCCTCACCTTTCTCACGATCCCATTTTATTCGCAAAAGTGGTGCGCATAGGCAAATCATTTATGAAGGAGGTCAGTAAGAATTTTTTCTTCCAAGTAGAAAATTAAATTTTGGAATGACAGTGTTATGAGTATATTTGTGTTATGTGTATCTCTAGAAATAAATAGAAAGTGAACTCTTAAGAAAAGGTTATATTGAGTAAGGTTTGGGGAAAGTCCATTGTATCCTATTCATTCATTCATTTGGTGAGGCATCCCTTGGTTGACCTCACAGACTGCAAGGACCTTGTCAGCTTACAATTCTTTATTTTTTATTTTTTCGCCTACAACACCTAGTCTTCCTAGGTGGTCTCCCATCTAAGTACTAACCAGGCCCGACCCTGCTTAGCTTCCGAGATTAGATGAGATTGGGCTTGTTCAGGGTAGCATGGCATAGACCTAACCATTTATTTTTATACACACACATATGTACATTATATATAGAGAGTAAATACATAATATAATTATATCTATATATCTGTATAACTATGTATAGATCTTAAATCTAGCTAGATTATTAGTCAAGTCCCCTACATAGGAAAACATGCTTTGGACAAGTGAATGTTTTTTGAATTCCCTTATAATTAGTGGTTAACTCAGCGTTCCCCCCCCCCTTTTTTTTGCTCAGTTATTTTCTTAGCTGCTATTTTGAACCATTGCCATTATTTGTATGAAGTCCCCTGAACATCATACTGTTGAGGATTTATTATGTAATTTTTTAGTAAACTTTTTATTAAAATAGAACATACAAAAAGTACCCAACCATAATTGTACAGCTCAGTGACTTTTTCCAAACTAAATACCCATGTATCTATGACCTAGATCAAGAAATAGAGCATTACCAGCACCACAGTGTTTCCCTTGTACTCCCTTCTTATCACTACCCCAAGGGCAACCATTTATGCTATGTTTTGTTTTTAAAATCAGCTTTGAGTTATAATTTACATACAGTAAATTTCACCCATTTTAAGTGTATAATTTGATGAGTTTTGACAAATGTATACAGTTGTGTATCCACCACCACAATATTTTCATCTCTCCAGTAAGTTCCCCCTTGCCTCTTTGTCAATTCCCTCCCTTCACTGTTGTTTCCTGGCAACCACTGATAGGCTTTTTCTAGAACTTCATATAAATGGAATTGTACAGAATGTACTGTGTTCTGTCTGGGTTCTTCCACTTAATGCTTTTGAGATTCATCCAAGTTTTTGCATGTGTCAAAAGTTCTTTTATTGCTGAGTACTTTTCGTTATATGGACATAACCAGAGTTTATTCACCAGTTGATAGGCATTTGGGTTGTTTCTTGTTGGGAGCTATTATAAATAAAGCTGCTATGAATATTCTTGTACAAGTCTTAGTGGAGGGGGGTGGTCATGATTTGTTCTCTCAGGAATGAGATTTCTGGGCCATTTGGGTAAGTGTATACTTATTTTTTTGCCAAATTGTTCAATGCGTATGACCATTTTGCATTCCTGAAAGCAATGTTCAGTTGCTCCAGATCCTCATCAACACTTTGTATTGTCAGTCTTTTAAATTTTAGTCATTCTAATGGGTGTGTTACCTATTATGCTTTTAATTTACATTTCTCTGATGATCAGTGATGTTGAGCATCTTTTCATGTCTTTATTTGCCATTTGTAGTCATCTTTATTGAAATGTCTATTTAAATCTCTTGCCCATTTTTAATTTGGTTACTTGTCTTTTATTATTTTTCAGCCTGATTTGCCTTTTCATTTTAAGTCTTTGAAAAGCAAAAATTTTTTAATTTTAATTAATTCCAATTTAGTACTACTTTTATGGTTTGCTCTTTTTGTTCTAAGAGATCTTTGCCTAACTCAAGGTCTTGAAACTGAAAAGAATACAAAATTTCTTTTCACTTGTAAAACAAGGCAACCAAAAGCATCTAGAAATTGTTACAAGTACAAATGCATTTCTTTCCAGCGTTTGGCGATTGCCTCCAATTTTAATTTTTGACAACAGTAATACACAGAAAATTTTACACCTGAAATATTTGACTTGGCTTTTAACACTTAGCTGATAGTGTTTTTAATGCTCACAAATTTACCTTCTGGAAAGATACTCTGAGGAAATCTGTTAAGTAGTTTACTATAGATATCATTTATTGTATAACATTCATATAAAGAGGAAGTATAACTGTTTCAATACCTTGATGCTTATAGTCTGAAACAGATGAGTCACGTTAGTTAACTAGTGCTTGTTCAGAGAAAAAAAGGTTGTGTCTTTCACAGTGCATCATATTGGGAAGCATGTGAAGTCAGTTTGTCTCATTACTGGGGATGGTAACATTGATCACTTGGTTAAGGTGATGGCTGCCAGGTTTCTCCACTGTACAGTTACTCGTTTCCCCTTTGTTGTTTTATTTTTTATTTTTTTTACCCCATCTTCCTCCTCCCTCCCCCTTCCCCTCTGGTAATCCTTTGTTGTTAATATGTATCTTGTGAGGAGATATTTTGAGACAATGTAAATAGCCTCTTTTTCATCTTACTTTCACCCACCGATGCCATTCTTTTTAATCGAAAATTTTAATGTTCATGTCTCTTGTTCTGAAATTCTTTGGCTACAAGTATCATAAACTTGTAAGCAAGAGAGCAAACATCTAACTTGTGAAAGTGCCCCATACATAGACATGTATACAGATATACAGTATTGTTACCAAGATACACAGGTGCTAGAACTGTCATGTTGTCCTTCCTCTCCTCCATCTCCATTGCAGCCCTCCTTTACCTCCGTTCTATTACAGTTGTGCCTGATGCCTGCCTCTAGCTCCAGTCTCTATTTTTGTGGGGCAGAAGGGAAGAGAAAAATGTTTATTTTGATGACAGTGTGGGAAGAAATCTGTCTTCTCTCATTGCTAAGGTTGTGGTAGGAATCTGACTTAGAATTTTGGTTCATTTTTTTACCCATAAAAATATTTCACTATAACAAATCATTTGTTTTCTATTTAAGGTTTAAAGAGTTTTGTTGCTAGGAATTTGACCAGGGCTTATAACATTATTTTTAAAGGTGGAATATGACCTTAGTTCCAAATAATGTATTTACAATTAAACTTCAATAACAGATCTCTCATTTATAAGCTTGATGTTGCTTGTATGTATAAATTATGCATATTTTTAGAAAGTAGCTTATATGCTTATACCAGCTATCACTTAACAGACTAGTCTTCTGGCCTATAGTTATTTGTAATTATCTCACTGATTGTGTTTGTGTGTATGTATTTCTTAAATATGAGATAGGTAGTATAGGACTATCTAGTATAGATAGGTCCTTGAATAATATCATTTTGTTACATCAATGAGGTGCCATAGGAACTTAGCTCTTGTTTACATTAATTAGCCTATGGTAAAATTGGTTTCATTATATGTTGTTTCGCTTAAAGTCACAGAACCTATCAATGATGTTAACTGAGGACTTACTGTATAGTAATTCTCAAACATTAGCATGCATCAGAATCACCTGTAGGTCTTCTTAAAACACAGATTGTTGGACCCCATCCTCAGAGTTTCTGATTCAGTAGGTCTGGGGTGGGACCTGAGATTTTGCATTTCTAACAAGTTTCCAGGTGATGCCGATGCTGCTGGTCCAAAGACTAAACTTTGAGAACTTTTTTTTTGTTGTTTATTTTGAGAACTGTTGTTCCAGTATATTAACTAATTTTGGTCTTTATTTCAGACTTAAAAGAGTGGCTCTATAGAATATATGTGTATGAATGGAAACATTTTACTATCTTTAATATTTTCTTTAATCGTAGAACACAACTTTAATGTGCTCACCTGACATACTTCAATGTTTTTGATAGTACTTACATTCCTTGGTGCTTTTTTGCATTCTGCTGATGTTAATGGATTAAGTTGTTTACCATAGTGATAGTGAATATTGATCTATTACTCTGTTACCCTATTCTGAGAACTATGTGAATCAGCACATTTAACTTTGTAAACCTGAAATTTTTCATAATAAAAGTGTTGGTTGCTAGGGAGAGATTGTACTTTAGACCACTGATTCTAAAACTCTAGTTTATGAATCAGCTACTTTAGAATTTTGGCTTGATGTTTCCTTTTTTTTTTTTTAGTTTTCATCAGCTGTTTAGGGGAGCTCCGGAGAGTCTGTGATCCTGCTTAACTCCATTTATTTCTTTTCAGAATTGAAGATCTACCTTGGTTGTGTAGATTAGAGCTCAAAATTAATATTCCTTGTGGATGAAAGTACAGGGTTCAAGTACAGTGGAATTCATCATACTCATGCTTAATTTATGTGAATGTGGCCATACTTGTTCTATCAGACTACTCAGTGTTTATACCTAGGTGTAAAGGTGAAATTGGAGAAAATTTTTCTTTCTGTTTGGTTCAGTTTCTCAGGCCTCAGAGAGACCAAGTTTAATCCACAACACCTTTGCTCCTGAACGAGCCTGAGCAGAGAACTGTTAGGATGTTTATATTTGCACTTATATTGTCACTTATATTAATTAGTTTGAACTAAGGTCACCTTAGCTATTACTGAATATCTTCATGTGACAATTCTAATCAAGGTGTAGAATCATAGTTAAGGTAATAAATTACAAGTAGGATCTTAATTTTTCTCATTAGCTGTGCTTTTAACCTAATGAGACATATAAACATATAAGGACAGGCAAATATTAAGTCTATTAATAGGCAAATGTAGACACTGTACAAACAGTATAATTTTTAAAAGACTACTAACAGTATAATTTTCCTAAGTACATTTTATAAGAGAAAAGTAGAATTTTTAGTGTGGACCAAAATGCACACTATAAACAATTGATTCAACCCCTGTGCCTCCTCTCAAGGACTGTTTTCTGAAATTGAACCTCAGTGTTCAGTTTCAGAAAAAAAAATTCAAAGTGTATAAAAGAGAGGTAACATTTAAAAATAATTGTGAAAACATACACCTCTTAGAGGTTTGGCCATTTGTCTATAGAGGGTATAGCAGCTGCTATCAGATCTTACCATATTCCTTTGGCTCTTATACCAGGTCCTTAACATTTCAGTGTGTGCCAG